ACAGTGAATGATTGAACAGTGAAGTGTTATTTTGTGGTACGCTTTTGTGTTTTAAAATCACAAGGCTTTATTTGCTGTACTTAATATTAAAAATGTCTACTACAGAGATATTAGAATACTACCAAAGTTATAGCTGTAAATTTCAACTAAATTCACAATATTTTTTCGTTGTAATATCTTATACTTTCAACAAATATGTAAATCTATAATGATTTCTTTCACCTTCACGAGTGTGGTTAAATACTTTACTGCAAATAAATAATGTATTAGGAAGAAAATTTGTTAGATAAACTCTGTAATATGTCTATTAACCAGCTAACTTTATTTGACGATTGTAAACGTCGTCATAAAGCTTGAAATAATACTAATTGTTTGAAACGTCACTTCTTTATTTTTCGGACAAACATGTAATTCTTTTCCGCGTTACTTTGATTTTTCATTAAAATATACCCTAGGTGCATTTGACCTGCGTTTAACAAGTACACACTTCATTTTTTTATTTTATTGTGCGCAAAAATAGAGGTTTTTGAAACTAATAGATAATGTATCAAATAATTTTAATGCAGATAGAAACTATTTTGCGGGAAGCAGACAGTACGAATTTTAAAACGCTGATAATCCGACACAAAAGGTAACAGTGATATCTCTACTCTTTGTATCGATTAAATTTTCAGCAGTTGTTAGAAGATAAAAATATATATGTATACATATATAGTAGACCACTACTATTAGTACATCTACAGATGTCATTAAAAAACATTCATTTAGATACTGTAACTCATATACATAGGTGACATTTACATAAATTATAATGCTCATATATCATACAGTAGAGGAATAATAATATATAATAGGAATGGTCGTTTATTATTAATGACACGATAAAATTCAATTCATTAAAAATGAAAAACAATAATAAAATAACAAGCGTAGATTTTGTTCTTATTAGAACTATAATAAAAGTGGGAAATTTCATGTGTCTAATTACTTCGTTAACTGTATAAACCTTGATCTCTTTTCGTATGACTATCAAACTTCAACTACGCACAAAGTGTTCATGCAATTAGTACCTACCGTTATACTCGTACATGATAAGTTTGTAATAATAATGAGAAAGGAAGAAGTTTTACCTTTCTTTAATAACTAACGTAATGGCGTATATTTTTTATATTTATAATATTTTTGGGGTAACGAAAATAAGATTCAATTTTTTATATGAAATATTGTATACTTTTTTATGCCATACATATACGATTAAAAATAATAAAAATAATTTATACCGTTATATTTATTATATAACATTTTTTTATTGTTGAGATCACACGGTAATTCAATGTAACTCAAATGCATTTTTTAGAAGCACAAATTACATTTCAATTATATCGTTTCGTAAAACTTACAGTCATTTCTCATATTTGTTGATTTCATTTATAAAAAGTTTACTTAACATCTTTTTACGAAAACAATAAAAAATATTTTTGTATTCCTTATATTATTAACCCTTTGCACTTATTATATTTTACATATGACATTAACACGTGAAACATTGGAATAAAATAGTTCTGTCCCTTAATTTACGGAAAATTTTTCGTTATGCTAATTGTGAAAATTATCATTAACATTACATCAGAAAATAATGAATATTTATGATGAAAAATATTGCGGAGAGCAAAGGGTTAATTTTTCATTAGATATAATCACAGTGCAACACAATTTGTTTATCTGATTACATCGGCGCAATTGCAATAAACACCCTGTATACAGTATGCATGTGTAAGTATATATTTTAATAGCTTTAACCGCCCCCGCATTTGTCTGATCCCGTCTGCGTAGCGAGCTTTCGATCTACCGAGTGTTCCTAAAAATTGAACGCAAAATCTTCTTTTCTGCAGTTTTTAAACGTACAGAACAACTTAGACGTCCCGAAATTTCAGTCGAGAGCTTATAAAATAAAATGCTGCGAGAACGTTGATGAGATTACCCGTAATCATGCACACGATTCTCCGCATATCATGTTTTATCTGTGTGTTTACAGCACTTAGTATACTGCATATATTTAAATTATATAAGAGAGGCGTGTTACTAACAATAAAACAGGTAACTAAACGTGGCTTAAATTTCGAAATTAATATTTAATATTTGACGAAGGTTATACAATTATTTAAACTATTTACCTTGGGACCCTCATAAATCATTGTTAATTTTAAAACAATAGGAAGAAATGAACTACAGAAGAGGAAAATTAAGTTATATGATATTAATGTATATTTTATTATATAATAACAATATGTAGGCATGAGGGACTAAATAATTTGTTCAAAATAACATAATAAATAATAATTTCATTTTTCTAAAATATAAGTCTATCAATTCAATTTTTGGAGAAAAAAATGTAGAACATATGAAAAACTAAAAATAAAGAAATTAATATATATTTACCCAATTTTCTGTTAATTAATGCAAGAAAACTTTGAATATTGTATTTCAAAAGTATATAAAGACTAATGTATTTAATCAATTACGTTGGACTATTTGTTATTCAAAGGCATGCTTCAATTAGAACTTACTCTACCTCTAGCGTGACATCTTATAATGGACATAAGTCTTGTCTAGATAAAGCTGCCACCGAGATTTCAAGGTAACCTTTGATTTTTCAAGTGGGACTATGTACTTTCTGTTAACTGGGCGTGTAGCCCATTCCGAGATGAATTCATTAGTCTCGATAAATTGGTCTTCCAAGGTTATCCGAGCTCATTTACGATCGATTAAATTCTCCTTTTGCTGAACGCCCACATAATGTTTCTTATCTTGTATTACATTTGAAAAGACCACCTTGAACATCAATATACTGGATCATTCCTTTCCTGAATAATCATTTTACCTACTCGAACATTGTCCTGACAATTTGATAACAGAGATTGTCTATTACAACTATCTGCATCAGAGATGGTAGATTCTTTTCGATAAAATTTATCTTAACTTATTTTATTTTTATAAACTCCAAAAAGAGAGGTTTAGGAATGGGTACTTCCTTTCCTTATCTAACTACGATATCGTTAGACACATAATTCAACATCGTAAAATATATCGCTGCTAGAAGAAGACTGCACAATTCTAGTCACAATAATACTAATTGTTTCCAAGCAATTGCAATATAAGGCTCTGACAGTTGATATTCCATGTTTGTAAATATAAATGACGATAAAGCAGTCAACGGCGTGAGTTTACAATACATTTACAATCGAATCTATTTATTACTTCGATAAGAAAAATCTTATGCACGCACAAAAATGACTGAAAAATTTGAAACACCAACATGTCATAGGTCAATGAATTGGTCTTTCAATAGACTATATAGCTAAAGAAAAATATAGAGTACTCAATATTTTAAAGAATGACCCAAAGTAGGACAAAACCTTTAAACAAAAATAAGAATAAAAATGTATTTGTTTCCTATCGCCATTTTATATAAACAGTTAGTTTTCAATCAATTTCTCATTAGTTCTTTTTTTATATACACTTTAAATATATTTTTTGATTTACTATTTTATACAAGCTGTTTACAAAACATAGTACAACCAGTAAGGAATGAATAACATAACAAAATAAGATGGAAACATAGAATAGTTTTTCATTTACAACTCTTTATTTAAGAAATAATTACCTTGAAAAATTTAAATTAAATTAAATTAAATTTAACGAATAAAATTGTTAAGTTATAACGTACATATTTTTAGCTGATCCCTGATCTGATAGTTTCTCAGATTTATTCATGTTTCAAACGATGTCACTTCGAGGAGCATTTTAATAGACAAATGCACAGAGATACACAACTCGACCGCACTTACACTCAATAGAGACTATAACTTGAGTTTTTATTTTTAAAAACACCCTTTATGAATGAGTGAAAAGTATAACCACTTACACTGTAACGCTAAACACATTGCTCCAAATAATATGCAGCAAGTTACTTTCTGATACAAAAATATATCTATTTTAAATAGATCATGTACACCGGCGGAATGGTCAGTATACTTACCCAGACCAACCAAATATTTTGATTCGAGCGCGGATTTTTACGCATTTATAACATATATAATTAGACAAAATAAAATGTAATCAGTATTAGCATAAATCTTCATAAAATTGTTATAGCACTGCAACTGCATCGAATGTCGTTATATTTCATATTAACTTCCGAAAATTTAACTATGAAGAATTATGGCCCGCAGTAATTATTTTATTTAAATCATTTTGTGATACATTACAATATTACGATTCATAACAGAAAGATTTCAAAGGGAAGTGATGATTGGTTACATATAAACATTGCATTAAAAAATGTTTTTTCAAACTATTTAATTTATAATAAGTTTTAATTGTTTCACATTATCTCTTAAATTAATTTTACTTTCAAAAATTTTAATAAATTACAGAGAATCATTAATAAGAAATGTTATTTACATGATACTGTAATTTTATATATAACAGATTAAATTTTGTTGTTGTCCTATGTACAATAAAATTAATATAAATACACAGATAAAATGTAGATGTATTTCGATCTATGTTA